TTATTTTAAATATATTTTATTGATTTCAGAGAGGAAGGGAGAGGTAGAGAGAGATAAAAACATCAATGATGCGAGAGAATCATCAATCAGCTGCCTCCTGCACGCTCCCCTCTGGGGATCAAGCCTGCAAACCCGGGCATGTTCCCTGACCGGGAATCGAACTGAGACCTGGTTCATAGGTCCACCCTTAACCACCGCGCCATACTGGCCAGGCTGCTTTATTGGTTTTTGAGAGAGAGAAAGGGAGAAACATGGTTGCCTTCTGCATGCTCCCCCACCAGGGATCAAACCCGCAACCTGGTTTTGTGCCCTGACTGGGTATTGAACAAGCCACCTTTTGGTGTAACAGGACAACACTCCAACTGTACCACACCAGCCAGGGCTCTGCCAGCTTTTTATTGTGAAAATTTTCAAATATAAAGAAAAAAAAAATATCCTTACCTACATTCAATAATTATTTATTGGATCCTTATTAAGTTTCAAGAAAGCATTATTAATGGATCTCATATAAAATAGAATACACTATACTACTTGAAAATAAGCTTAATTAGTGTGCTTAGAGGAAGTGATTTATAAAAGAAAAAAAGGCGATCCCTTTTATTCTAAGCATTGTTCCAAGAGAAGATTGATATCTCAGTGTAGTAGAGCTTCTCATATTTAGTTTTGTCTGTAAACTCAATTTCAATATTTGTTATCTAGTTACTTGTTAGGTATTTGGATACTGCTTTGAAATTCTTGAATTCAAAGATGCCTCAAAAGAGAGTAGAAATTTGGTTTAAATCCGTAAGATAAGAAGTATAATATATTGGCTTTTCTTTTTGTTCTTAATGGGATTTGAAAAGAAATCATGGGTAATATTTTGAACAACTTCATATTGCTATCAACCAATGAAATTTAAAAGTTTATAGGGATGTTTCTTTTAATAAATAGGGTTTTTAAAAAAAATAACGCTTGCTTGCCCTAACGGTCCGTTTGGCTGAGTGGATAGAGTGTCAGCCTGTGGACTGAAGGGTCCCAGGTTCGATTCCGGTCAAGGGCATGTACCTTGGTTGTGGGCACATCCCCAGTAGGGGGTGTGCAGGAGGCAGCTCATTGATGTTTCTCTCTCATTGATGTTTCTAACTCTCTATCCCTCTCCCTTCCTCTCTGTAAAAAATCAATAAAATAATATTTTTAAAAAAATAACTTTCGCTTAATGAATAAATGAACACCTTTTGCATTGTAATAATTTTGGGTTGATCATTTAAAAACAAAGGACTTAAAAAAATAAATAAAAACAAAGGACTTGTAGGTGGGAGAAGTCTTAATACACACAGATTAGTTTTAATATCTATTTTATGGCTCCATTCCTTTGTAAGTATTAGCTTTTCCATTTTTAATGTTTTGTTTTATATTTATAGAGACTGTTGAAGCTATATCTATATAACCATTCCTGGTAGAATTGTTAATGTAGTTTTTGTAGTTTTCCTTCAGTGGATATACCTTGAAAATTTGCTTAAAACTAAATCTGTGGTTCTGTTGTACAACTGTGTATTTGTCAAAATTCATAGAACTGTACACCAAAGAGTGAATTTTACTTATATAAATGAAAAAGTATATTTAAACTATAAATATGTCAGGAAAACATAGTTGAAAGACAAAGAGGTGGTATATTCATTTACTTTCTTTGTTGCTATAAAACTTGGGAAATTTTTGCCCTGGTCAGTGTGGCTCAGTTGGTTGGTCCTGTACATCAAAAGGTTGCAGGTTTAATTCCCAGTCAAGGCACATACTTTTGTTGGGATGCATCCGGCTATGGGATTAATGTTTCTCCCTCCCCCTCTCCCTCTCTTTCTTCCTCTCTCTAAAAATCAATAAGCATGTCCTTGGGTGAAGATTTAAAAAATAAAAAAAAACTTGGTAAATATTTAATTGTTGGGAAAACAGATTTTGGTGCTTCCCAATTGAGACCTTTTGGTATTCAGAAACACAGTCAAAAAAAGAAATGAATCTTGGGAAACTTGGTTGCCTTTATACACATAATCTGACATTGGTTAAGTCGAAATTTATGACTGAACAATAATTTTGTTTATATAGTTTCTTGATGGTAGTAGAGCTTCTCTTCTCTATTAGGAAAATTAGCCCCCAAAAGAGGAGCTATGCGCTTTGGTTTCTTCAAAGGGGTAAGCTTTATTGATTTCTTCAGATTTTATGTGTTAGAAAATTCTAAATTTAAGAAAATTCTATAAATTCGTTTACTGTAAAGCATACTCTTCAGGTAATGAGACCAAAATCTTATTGTGTATTTTCATTTAAAACTTTTAGTTTTTACTCAGAGAGGAAGGGGGGAGGGAAAGTTGGGAGAGGGAGAAGGAGAGAGAAAGAGAAACATCCATTGGTTGCCTCCCTCATGCACCCTTTGGTGTATGGCACCACACTCCAACCAACAACCATACCGGACAGGGCTTCATTTAAAACTTTTGAGGCAGTAAACTTGCCATGGTTTTTTGGATTAGAATATTATGTCTCAGTTTTCTCTAAAAGTCAGCTATGGAAATGGTCACATAGTTTTGTCATAGAGACAGTTTTGAGTATAAAGCTAAGGGATGAGAAAGTAAAAGTATTTAAAGTGAATGAAAATAAGAATCTTTAAATTATAAACCGAAATTTGTATGCTATATTATTAAAAATGGAACAATAGGATCTATCAGAATTTTGATGCAATTTATAAAAAAGGGACTTTGCAAATAGTAATTTTTTTCCTCTGGTTCATTTTAAGAGTTGTAAGTTGATTATGGCTTTGAGATGACTTTATTATTTCTAAATTTTCCTCTGTGTGTCATTTTCTTTTTACTTTTGATCATACTTAATTGCCTTAAAATTCTTTTTGGCTCCTATTGCAGTATCCTCAGTTTTCTTCAAAGTTTCTCTTTGCTGTGGTTGCTCTTTTTCTCCTCCTCATCCCAACTTTGCATCCTTTTTTTTTTCTCTTTCTTATTTATTTAATATGCTTCAATAGGATTCTCTGGAAATATTAACCTTACAAGGATAAGTAAACCCTGCTACTTTCCTATTTCTACTATCTACTCCAAAATCTAGCCTTCGCATAGAATTCATAGGTGAAAGATGATAGTAGAAGTGATAAAGTATGGAACCAGGACTAGGATCGGAGGATATCCAAGTTTTCCCTCTCTGACTAGAGTCAGTGTTTTCAGCTAGCACACCAGTCTTCATAGCTATTCTCTTCCCAGTGCTTTTCAAAGGTTGTATGATTTGTCTCACAAAAGAGTTTTCCGAAAAATCAGCTCATCACACATTTGCCATATGACACTAAATTTGACAGAATAATCTTTGCTTTAGTTCTACATACTAGTATATTAGTATATCTTTCACAACTTAACATAAAACTATAAACTAATTAGCCTTGCAAGCTCAGCTTATCTTTTAAATACTATTTATCTTCTGGATTGTAACTCTTAAAATTACTGTTAAAAAATTATTTACTTATTTTTTATTATAAAATGGCCTTCTGAATATTAGACCCTTTTTTTATTACTTTGTGGTGGTAACATTATACATACATATATATGTGTGTGTATCCCTAACTAGAACTGAATGAGGACATATATAGCACTATTTAAAAATTTTAGGATAGAAGTTTTAAAATGTTCATATAAAAATAAATAAGCTTTGCATTGAGAAGCTTTTGTTTACATGTGTACAGTACAGTAGATATTTACTGTATTATAAATGAAAACAGAAAAATTTTAAGATATTAATTTAAATAACAAGATAAACCTATTACATGTTAACATAAATAATTTGTGAAAAACAACTTTTTTGAGACACATTTGTGAGAAGCGTGGCATTGGTTTACATATAGATCTCTTTAATGAATTATTATTTATTTATTATTATTTTTTAAATCCTTACCAGAGTAAGGATATTTTTTCCATTGATTTTTACAGCGAGTGGATGGGAGGGGGAGGGGAAGAGGGAGAAAGGGAGAGAGGAGAGAGAGAGAAACAATGATGTAAGAGAGACATCAATTGGTTGCCTCCCACATGCACTCCAACCAGAGGGGAGGGATCAAACCTGGAACCTGCAACCCAGGGTAGGTGCCCTTGACTGGGAATTGAACCTTGACCCTCGGGTGTGCAGGCCTATGCTTTAACCATTGAACCATTTGGGTGAATTACTGTTTAATAGAAAACATCTAGAGTCTTTTATCTGCCTCTGCTGTAGTAAGTTCTTTTGGCTGAAATAAACAAAGAAAATAAAATCTGGTCTTGCACAGATATGTAGATGGTGAGGGGAGGAATATTTTAATAGCCTTTTCTGATAATTGGGGATCTTTGCTTCTGTACCATAAGTCAACAAGCAGTAGTTTCTTAAAGGTTAAGTTACAGTATGGAATCTGAAATCATATTTTTTAATATATTTGGTCTTTTGCTCTTTTACCCATGCATAATTTGTAACATGCATTGATGATTGAACTTGTTCGTTCACTGTGTTGTGCAAATCTTGACATATTTTATCATATAGTAATCTTCCCACTAAAAAACCCCCACATTTATTATTATCACCACTTCTCTCACTAAAAGTCTTTAATTAACGGGAAGTTATCAAGCTCTTAAATGACAATGTTTTCCAAAGGTCTAGTTTTCATCCCAAAACTCAACTTTTATCATTGGGAAGAAATACTGTTTTTTCTCTTGAAGTGATAGGCTCATTTTATTCATTTTCAAGAAAATCTCTGCCAGATACCTAAATCGAAATGGCCATAGTTTTTTTTACTTGTTCTTTCAAGTAACAATGGTGTTCCATGACAAAAACAGCTGGTTCGTTTCAGCTTGCAACTCAGTCACATAAGCGTTTTTCCTCTAGGCAATTGTCTGCTGGTATGTGGCAGAAGTGCTGTGTGTTTACTTCCTATTTTATCATTAAAGGATCAAGATTTAATAAAATGAATACTTGTTACTGCTTCATCAAGAACATTCTTAAATGAAACTGGCTACCCCCAGTTTCATGTGGTGATGAGAGGAATACAGACTCAACAACACAGTTCAGTACTATGTGTTGCCTTGCTTGATTCCTGCTAAGTTTCCAGCAGCCTCACCATTGCTTTTGCAGTGCAGTGGTTAACATGGTGCCAAAAGCAAGTAACATCTCAGTATTATTATGAAAATCGTATTGACCTCATGGATGCCCTGAAAGAGTCTTAGTGATACCCAGGTTTCTGTCTACCACATTTTGAAAACTAATGCTACAAGATGGTTTTGATTACTGCTCTGCTATTTTTAAAAATGCATTTAATTATCTAAGGAAGAATGAATTACAACTCTCTCATTTTATGTCTTTACCTATCATTTTAATAATTGTAATTTTGCCTTTGAAATAGGAAAAATGCCATATTTATTTATATTTTTTATTGATTTCAGAGAGGAAGGGAGCGGGAGAGAGATAAAAACATCAACGATGAGAGAATCATTGACTGGCTGCCTCCTGTACTATCCCCTACTGGGGATTGAGCCCACAGCCCCGGCATGTGTCCTGACCAGAAATCAAACCTTGACCTCCTGGTTCATAGGTCGATGTTCAACCACTGAGCCACACTGGCCAGGCAAAAATGCCATTTTAAAATAAAAGTATGCATGAGAATACATGCTTGGCTTTATATTTCTGTGCTGCTTTCTTTTAAATAGCACATTTTATAATTGTGGGCCCAGACTAAAGAACTCATTCTACTCAGACACTGAGTAGCTTTGTTTCTGACAGCAGTAGTCAGCTCTCTGTTTTAAAACAATCACTTGGATGCTGCTGGCTCAACTTGCAGTTGTCCTAGTCCTAACCCTGTCAGCCAAAGACTTGTTGGAAAGCCCACACAAAGGCCTTGTGTACAGGGAGCCCTGCTAATAAGGAGTGTGTTCTAGTCCCAGCAGATTAAATCTGCTTTGGTGTGCATTCCCTTCCCAGATTTCTTACTTATTTCCTTTGTTTGCCCTGTTATTTCAGTGAAAGGTTATTTTTAATATATATGAATATAGTTTCTTGTAATTATTACATAGTGCAAGTGGAGGAGATTACTGGAATAAAATAAAATGTTTATTTTTCTATGGTAGGATGTGATGGAGCTGCTTGAAGAAGATCTTACGTGCCCAATCTGTTGCAGTCTGTTTGATGATCCTCGAGTTTTGCCTTGCTCTCACAACTTTTGCAAAAAATGCTTAGAAGGGATCTTAGAGGGGACTGGGCGGAACTCATTGTGGAGGTCATCTCCATTCAAGTGCCCCACATGCCGTAAGGAAACTTCAGCCTCTGGAGTCAATAGCCTGCAGGTTAATTACTCCCTGAAGGGTATTGTGGAGAAGTATAACAAGATCAAGATCTCTCCAAAAATGCCAGTGTGCAAAGGACACTTGGGGCAGCCTCTCAACATTTTCTGCCTGACTGATATGCAGCTGATCTGTGGAATCTGTGCTACACGTGGTGACCACACCAAACATGTCTTCTGTTCTATTGAAGATGCCTATGCTCAGGAAAGGGATGCCTTTGAGTCCCTCTTTCAGAGCTTTCAGACCTGGCGTCGGGGAGATGCTCTTTCTCGTTTGGATACCTTGGAAACTAACAAAAGGAAATCTCTACAGTTACTGACTAAAGATTCAGATAAAGTGAAGGAATTTTTTGAGAAGTTACAACACACATTAGATCAAAAGAAGAATGAAATCCTTTCTGACTTTGAGACCATGAAACTTGCAGTTATGCAAGCCTATGACCCAGAGATTAACAAACTCAACACCATCTTACAGGAACAACGAATGGCCTTTAACATTGCTGAGGCCTTCAAAGACGTGTCAGAACCAATCATATTTCTGCAACAGATGCAGGAATTCAGGGAAAAAATAAAAGTAATCAAGGAAACTCCTTTACCTCCCTCTAATTTGCCCACAAGCCCTTTAATGAAGAACTTTGATACCAGTCAGTGGGAAGACATAAAACTAGTAGATGTGGATAAACTTTCTTTGCCTCAAGACACTGGCATACTCATTGGCAAGATTCCCTGGAGCTTTTATAAGTTTGTAGTAGTCATTCTGCTTGGCCTTCTCATTTTCTTCGGTCCTACTATATTCTTAGAAAGGTCTTTATTTGATGAGTTCTCAAACTGGAAAGACCATCTTTCACACTTCAGTTCCTATCTGACTAAATCGCCTGATTTTGTAGAACAATCAGTTTTTTACTGGGAACAGGTGACAGATGGGTTTTTCATTTTCAGTGAAAGATTCAAGAATTTTACTTTGGTGGTCCTGAATAATGTGGCAGAATTTATGTGCAAATATAAACTATTATAAAATCTATTTTAAGTGCATAGTTCTCTTTTTTTTGTTAGACATTTGTTAGAGAACAGAGTGGTAGTTCAGATTTGGTCAAAGATTCCAGTCAGATACTTTCCTTCAAAAGTAATATCTTACATATGCCTTTCAAATTAGGTAGTATAAAGATAAAAGTGAAATTTAACTGTACAGTCCTGAACCCTCCTTTTTTAAAGAGTGCTTTTGAAATAAGTATCATACTCCCCAATATTGTGTTTATGCTATGTAAAAAGGGGAGGTGAGAGAGCACATGATGTAATATTGTATTGATGAGGTAATGTAATAGTGATTGAATCTAATAAAGACTACTCTTGTAAAGCAACTTTTTTTTTTTTAAAGGAAACAGGTGGATTGGATTTCCAGATTTTTCTGCCAAGGGTAGATTTTCTTTTTTGCTAAAGTGTACATCATATAAAGTGCAAATAAAAAGTGGCATTTTCTTGTGATAAGTGTACATTTTTAAGAGGGTGGAGATTTTAGCTTGCCTTTTTCTCCTTAGGTATTATAAATTTATCACTAAAGGAGTTTGGTAATAAACTACAGAAGTGTTAGGTGGCTGTACAAACGAAAGCATAGGTTAAAAAAAGTAACATGGTAAAAGCAGGAAATGGGAAAGCCTCGTTTTACTGACAGCTAAGTGTGGGTTGTCCCAAAGTATCCTGGCAACCATACAACCAAGCAAACCACTTGCTTGAAGAATTTAAGAGTAGTAAGACTTGACAATAGAGAAAACAATCTGTCAGCTACTATAAAGTACAAAGTAATCATTAAACATTAATGCTGTCCTATCTGTTCACATGAGGTAAAGATACCCTATCTCCCAAAGAATACTTAATTTCCTTGTTTAGAATTCAAGGAAAACAAGAGTGAGCTTATCTTAGAACTGCTCTCCGGTATAACTTACATCTGTCATAGAACAAGACATTTCTTTGAAAGCCCAGAGTGTCTTTACCCCAGTCCTTTAATTTGGTTGAGAAGAGATAATACAAGGGAAATAGGAAAAAAAGATGGCAATGCAATTTAAAGTACAGAAGAATCACTGTAGTTAATGAGAAGAGTCAAGTTAACCTGCTAGTTGAGGTAATGGCTGTCTCATCCTTAACTGACAATTTGTGATTGAAATTGCTAAAGGGATCATAAGAAATGACAATGTTTCTCTAAATCTTAACCACTGCCATGAGGATTCAGTGGATAAGCGGTCTGGGGAGGAGGAGTACTTTTCTGCTCCCAGTATTTTTTTTTTAAATTGAGATTTACAGTAGCTTTTCATGGAGAATTTTTTATGGAATACAGGAAAGGGATCTTGACACCTATCCTTATATATTGTCAGTTTTTCTTAAACTGTCTAGTTTCTCATCTGTTGCTTTTTTTATTTTGTGTACTGTAAGTTCCCAAGCAACTCAAATTTGCAAACACAACTATGGATACACTATTTGCTTTACAGTAGTTACCTGGAAATCTAGGTCTTTGTTTTTTTGTTATTTTCTCCTCTCTCCACTTAATCATATATAACTAGCAACATTTATGGTTATAGTTTGATTTACAAGTTCTTAAGTTTGTGGCGGAAGGTTTGTAGCCTCTAATCTGAGGCAAGGGAAGAATGAGTGGTCAGAAACTGGTCACTCTGAATGTGGGAGGGAAGATATTCACAACAAGATTTTCTACCATAAAGCAGTTTCCTACCTCTCGGCTAACACGAATGTTAGATGGCAGAGACCAAGAATTCAAGATGGATGGTGGCCAGATTTTTGTCGACAGAGATGGTGTTTTATTTAGTTTCATCTTAGATTTTTTGAGAACTCAACGGCTTATATTACCTACTGATTTTTCAGACTATCTTAGGCTTCAGAGAGAGGCTCTTTTCTATGAACTTGATCCTCTGGTTGATCTCTTAAACCAAGAACTCCTGCTACAGCCAAGACCTGCTCTTGTGCAGGTGTATTTCCTAAGCCGAAACACTCAAGCTTTTTTCAGGGTGTTTGGCTCTTGCAGCAAAACAATTGAGATGTTAACTGGGAGGATTACAGTGTTTATAGAGCAACCTTCAGCACCAACCTGGAGTAGTAACTGCTGCCCTCCTCAGATGACCTTACTTCCACTGCCTCCACAAAGACCTTCTTACCATGACCTGGTTTTCCAGTGTGGCTCGGACAGCATTACTGATAACCAAACTGGAGTCAGGTATTTTGTACTTTGAAGCATCTCTCTTCTATATCAGTTCCTGATGTTTCCCCTCAAAACTGAAAGTTTCTCATGCCTACAACTTTTCTTGGAATAAATTATGACTCAATGTTTTGGGGTAGCCAGTAGAGTTGGGCAGAATGACCAGATAATTATGTCCAAACTGGGGTACTTTTCAGAGTGAAAGAGGGTTTTGTTATTATGTGGGACAATAGGAATAAACCAAGACTGTCCAGGGAAAACTGGGACTGTGGTCACTAAAGTTGTAGGAAGAAATAATTTTATAGAAAATGTTCCATTGCTAGTAAATTTGGCTTAGGAATAAAACTTTTTTTTTAACCCCTAATAATGGCTGGGATATAGTAAAGGCTCAATCGTTTATCCTGATCTCCTCATACTTTATGTATATTTGCTTTTTCAGGCCTTATGATTTGACTACTGATTTTTCTCCATTCTACTTTATTTTTAAACACCATTAAGGCAGATAATCCATGGCAAATCTGGTATCCTTTTACATCTTTGGCACTCTTAGACAACTCAAACTATTGGTATAGGCTGTCAGTATGTTAAGGATAGTTGCTCCTGAGTCAATTACTTTATCCCCCTACTGTTCTTGACTGGACCCTATGGCTAATTTCCACTCTGCTGTCAGTATCTTTTTCCCCCTTAAAATTATCTTGTCCCACCATTATTTTACTAGCTGTGAAAATTGGCTTCGATTTTCAGGAGGAAGAAAAAGTCTCCATATTTTTTTTTTACATGTAGTATATATAATAAAAGCATAATATGCTAAATAGACCAGATAGCCGATCGACCTTCCAGACAAAGCCGCAGCAGCAGGGGCCGAGGCAGACGCGGTTAAGGGCGATCAGGCAGGCAGGCAGGCAGGCAAGCGAGCAGTTAGGGGCGATCAGGCAGGCAGGTGAGCAGTTAGGAGTTAGGGGCAATCAGGCAGGCAGGCAGGATAGTGGTTAGGAGCCAGCGGTTCCAGATTGCGAGAGGGAAGTTCAAGGGGTCCCAGATTGCGAGAGGGTGCAGGCCGGGCTGAGGGACCACCCCCCCGCCACCCTGTGCACGGATTTCGTGCACCAGGACTCTAACATAAAATTACTTTTTTGGGACATAATGGTAGGCATATTTGGGGATATTTTCTTAACTTCAGCAGCAGCCATCAGGAACTACCAATGTTTGCCCATCCACAAGACACCCCTCGGTCTTGCAACTGGGGAACACTGAGCAGTATAATTCTTAACTTATTATACTTCATAATTCCTGCCCTTGCAAAGAGGTTGAAATGTCATTTTGGGAGAAGAGAGCCAGTTAAATTAATAGGCTGATTGTGAATAAAAGTAAGACCCTCTCATCTCAAATGGTTTTAAGATAACTCTATGCACAACATTCTTTTTGTTGGTGGGGCACTAACATAAATAGAGAGGAAATGACCAGTTTTTTGGTTTTTAAAATTTGAGTGATTAAGATCTTTGAGTATCCCTTTTGTAAAAGGGATCCTAAGGAAACCTAAGAAAAAATGGTGTTATTGGTTTTAAGAAGAAACATGCAAGGTAAAAAATGATATCCTGGAAATACTTAAATGCTCTTTAAAAACTATGCAGTTGGAGAAAATAATTGTAATCTTGAAAAACAAGATTAGAAACTCAGGTTGGGATATCCTTGCATGTACACAGTATCAAGTGGTTTCCCCTTTGTTATTAAAGTGTTTGTGTTTTAGAAATATTACAAAATTTTTTCATCTTAATGTGAGAATGGTATTAAACTTCCAAAATAGATAATTCCCAAAACAGTAGCTAGTTTTAAAAGTTGAAAGCTTTTTTTCATCCCCAAATAGTATTCTTTTCAGTTGAAGTTCAGAATTTTTTCTATCCCAGAATGTTTGATTTTATTTATTTTTACTTTATAGTGCCGTTTTCAAAGTAGAGACAGATAACCTGAATAAGGTGACATTATTGGGATTTCAGGTGACTAGATGAAACCTCCAGGCTTAAAAGATCCACCTTAGATGACTGCCTAGCTGGCAATCATTTTTATTTCTTGCTCACTCCCTGGTCTGAATCTGTCCATTCAGTTGTTTTTTGAAGGTGGGAAGTGGAGAATAAGCCTGAATGGCTTCTAGGAGTCTGGTGTGTCATCCAGTTGTTTGGTATGTTCCACTAATGTAATTTACCTACTCTAAGTTTTGTTAACCTGACAGGTTGCTCAGTTATTATCTCTCAAGTTCACAGTACTAGAAATACTTGGCTTGCATCTTGCAGATGTGGTAACATTATCAAGCTCAAGTTATGGTCATAGGATTCTAGACCATAGAATCCCAGTAGCCTTTTATTATATCTCACTTTTCCTTTTTTTAAACTGGGTCAAATGGAAAAGTGTAACTGCCTTTTAAGTTTTTAAAATACGTTTTGTTTTCTATTTCTCATTGGTTTCTTCTATCCTTTTCTGGTGCTGTGAAACTGTCATTTCTCAATTTGGCTTCAGAGGGAATTAAGTACTTTGGCTCAGTGATTTCTTGCAAGTGCATTCCACTTTGTTATAACCTATAGTATACTATTTGTATCTTTATTTTGTGAGATGCTCTAGAACTGTTTTTCTCGTTGAAAAATGTTCCTACGCTATATAATTAAGATCTGGCACTTGGGGGTAGATGGAATGATTTACTAAGGTTAAAAATTTACTATATCAGACATAATAAACATTTTTTTAAAAATCCTCACCTGAGGATATTTTTAAAGTTGCTTTTGCAGAGAGAGTGGAAGGAAGGGAGAGGGAGAGAGAGAGAAATATTGATGTGAAAGACACACATCGATTGGCTGATTCCCATATGCGTCCCTACCAGGACCGGGGCCGAGGATCGAACCTGAAACCCAGGTACATGCCATTGTCCAGGAATGGAACCTGCAACCCTTCAGTCCGTGGCCTGACACTCTAATCCCTGAGCCACACTGGCCAGGGCAATAAACATTTTTTTGATATGTACTTTGTAGTTTTACAATTCTTACATTTTATTATTGAATTGCTTTCTTCGCCTAGAATGAGCTTTAGAATGTGAACTACAATAAGCCACTCTATTTCAATCATAATTAAAAGGCTAGAGATGTCCCTAAGGCTCTTTTTATCCCATAAAACTGCAGATAGTTTAGGTTGCAGCCTAGAACTAATTTAAGTTGGCCTCTTCTTCCCATCTCATAAACAAATGGTGGGAGGACACAAAGACATAAAAATACCCTTGATGATAAATAAAGGAGTAATACAGCTATATCTATTGAATATGTTATATTGACATTATTAAAGCCAACATATAACCAACCTGAAAAGTTCAAATACATTTTTCTATAATTATTTAGATTGGTTCTATCAAGTTTCCCAGGAAATAGGCAGAGGCTTTTTGACCCCATGTTTTGCTTTGCAATATTTAGACAGTTATTGAGTAAAACTTGACAATAAAGTCTTCTTGATATTTTATATCTGCAAAATTTACCTGGAGAAAATGTGTTTGATAGTAATAAGTCATAAAAGAAAATGTGTAATATCAGTGCTGAAAATGTGTAATATCAGTGCTGGTAAATTAAATCTAGGGGGAAAATTGTAAACGTATAATGTTCATTAAAATGACTAAATCAATTAATTAAGTTATTTAATTAAAACAATGTTTAGTAAATGTAATTGTTTGACCAAATTGTTTGCTCCAGAAAATAGTTTCTCAACGAAAATCCATCAGTGCCAGTTACATTCCTAAGTGTAGAATTAAAATGACTTTGGAAATCATAGTAAGATATCTATTTTCAGTACCCTGAAATTACTGATGTGGATTTATAAATGAAGTGTCAAAACAAAATCTGATGAAAATGGGTATGATGCATTTATGAGTGGTTATAAGTCAAATTTATGTGTTTAGTTTTGCTAGTTATTAAAGGGATGCTTTATAATTAAATGTGTGTTTGTTTTGTGTTTTTTTTGTTCTAGGTATGTTTCTATAAAACCTGATAGTCGAAAATTGGCCAATGGAACTAATGTTCTCGGCTTACTCATTGACACTTTATTAATGGAAGGCTTCCATCTGGTTGGTAATAGAACAGTATCCTCTGAAGACAAAACTGAATGCTATAGTTTTGAAAGGATAAAAAGGCCTGAAGCTCTCGCCATGAACAAAACTGTGAAACCAGAGGCTGCCATCATGCCAGGGCAATCTCAGAAAAAGAAATGAGTTTTTTGTTCTCTTTTAGAGTAAAGGGAAATTGCCATTTTCTTGTCTCCTGCCATGCCATCTCTGGGCAACCACACCTCAACAATGCTTAAGCCACTCTAACTGCTTGCTGCTTTCTGAACAACACTGTGCACTTGGTGCTTTGCCACATATTCCTTCTACCTTCAATGCCTCTTTCCATTTCTCTTTTTCATGAACATTTATATAGCTTTCAAGAATGGATTCTGGAATCATGCTGATTGATTTCTAATCCCAGCTTAATCACTTATTAGCTAGATGGCTTGGGCAAGTCATTTAACCTATTTGTGCCTCAACTTCTTCATCTATCAAATGGGGATAAAAATATATATATTTTATAGGATATATGAAAATTAAAGGAGATAATATACTCAACATATTTCCTGGGATATGGTAAGCACTCAGTAACTATTAGTGATGATGATGATGAAGATGGCTCCCTTTCCTCTGTATGGACTTACACGCCATTATAAAAACAAATTTTTCTCACTTGAATATGAGCTTCATCTACTCAATAGTGTTAACATTACTATGTGTAAAGTACTGTGCTAAATATTTAGTGAGAAGAATAATATATGTTACTAATTAGCATCTACATTTGATCAAAACCTTTATGAATAACTTCTACTAACATTTAAATCAGCGGTTCTCAACCTGTGGGTCGCGACCCCTTTGGCGATCGAACGACCCTTTCACAGGGGCCGCCTAAGACCATCCTGCATATCAGATATTTACATTATGATTCATAACAGTAGCAACATTACAGTTATGAAGTAGCAACGAAAATAATTTTATGGTTGGGTCACAACATGAGGAACTGTATTTAAAGGGCCAGAAGGTTGAGAACCACTGATTTAAATACACATATACTTTGACTTAGTGATTCCTCTTGTAGGAATTCTTACATATGTATCATTTTAAATAGGATAAACATTTAGAAGAGGAATCATTAAGTCAAAGAGCACCAAGTACTTTGTACATAGTAGGATTAAAAAACCACAGAGTGGAAGCAGTTGAGCACCATTTTAAAAAGTACAATTAATTCATTCAAAAACATCTGTTAAACATTTGTTGGACACTATACTAAGTTTTCAGGATAAAAAAATAAGAAAGAAATTATTCTCAAGGAGATCACATTCAACTGATAATCATCATAACAGCAAAAGATTAGAAATACACTCAAAGTTCATCAATAGGGAATGGGTAAATTATGGTTCATACAATGAAATACTATGCAACTCTTAAAAAGAATAGAGCAGCAGTTCATAAACTGATAAGGAAGGATTGTCATATTTATAAGGGGAAAATGTGCAGAACAATGTATAATGTTGAAAAAGATATATTTCTACTTTATAGTTTCCATTTGTGAAAAAATATACTCATTTTCTTATATATCCATGAAATTGTCAGCAAAGATCCAGGTCACCTGTGGAGAGGGAACTGGGTGAGTGGGGTTTAGGCATAGGAGAAAGGCTTTTTTTTTCACCAGACCATGTAAAAGTATTAGCTATTTTAAAAAAAGGAAGAGCCATACCTGAAAGACAGTATGCAGAGTAAGGGGGACTCTTATGGCATATTATGGCCCATTACCTCCCATTGACACAAATTTTACCATCCTTCCTGTGAAACTCCTCCACTTAGTAAAAAAAAATGTATTACAGACATTTCTAGTAATTACTTACAGATTTGTGTACTAGGTTGTAGGGAAGAAATAATTTTTTAAAAAAATTTCCCAACAGTATCTGAAAAGATTATGTCTATTATAAAAGTGCAAAATACTTTAAGACTAGTAATGTTAAGGTTAGCAACTGAAAATAATGACCCAAATAAGAAAAAAAGCTTTATGAACCAAGTGTTTTGATTTTGGTGGCATTCTCTTTTCTGCAGAAAAGCCAACTTAGTTGTTTTAGTGCGTCATCTTAGTTTTGGGGATGATGTGTTTGGTCTGGTTCCCTTGCTAGCATCATATTCTAGGGCACAATATTTCTATTCTGTTAAGTTTTTGGCATGTATATGATTTAACCAGTTGAGTATAGTTGACATGGTTATATATGTAACACTACTTAATTCTCTATAGTGTTTTGCTAGTAAGATTATTAAAAACTGATAACTGGTTAAAATACTGAAACAAAAAATATTGTAACTGGAAATATTTAAACTGCTATTAATGTGTTTAGTCATTCACATTTGCAGAAAACTAGTTTGATGAGAAATGTTCTTATTAATGCACTAATAGAAACATATTACCTGTGGAAACATATAATATACATAACATTTATTAATTCATTCAATAAATATTTATTGGCATCTGCTATGTGCCAAATACTATTCTGGACATTGGAGATACTGCAAGGAACAAAGCAATGCCTTCCCTTCTAGAGCTTACTATAAATATAACTCATAACATTGACAATGGGTTTAAATTAAAATAATTTGTCTTTTATTAAATAGTGTCTAAAAGTCATGAGTTCACAATGTAGAGATTTTTTAGGAGACAGACTGCTACACTTAAAAAATGTTCATTATAGGGAAGTGACTTTTAGAGTGGATTGATTTTCTTATTTTAGTAAATATTTTAGAGATATCATATCTGGAGACACATCTGTCAAGATCACTTCAGTAAGCCTCTGGTGTTCACTCCAAAATAGAGTGGGACTCTGTGATTGGGATGTGAAGACATGCAAAAAATTGAGTCTTTTTTTAAGAAAGGGAGGCAGGCAAATGTAGTTAGAAGGAAACAGTGATATGTTTAGATGCACCACAGGCAAATTAAAAACTTGCTTGCCTTCGAAAAAAAAAGACTAACATTTTCATATGGGCACCACTTAACTCTTAACTTCTTGAATGAAATGATGTCAATTTTCTTTTCAATTATAAGAAAATAATGGCAGAAGTTTGTCTTGGCAAACCATGCTGAAAACTTTGTTCATCAAATCATATACACATATCAATCCATCTCATATACACAAGTATGACTCATCACAATGACATGTTAATGTTTGTCAGTCTTAACTGTACCATCAATAGTCGGGCCTCCCTTATTATCCCACTTCTCTTTTGTTTCAGCTTTTTTCCATCACCCAGTTTCATTTCTGATAAGGCACTAAAGATTTTAGCTTATTCTTGAATCTCCTTAATTTACCTTATAAGCAATTGGAAGTTTTCCCTACAAAGATTTTCTGAAAAGAAGCTCTAGTGTTGAATTTTACTCTTGGATTTAATATATGTCATAATTAGAAAGAGTTCAGAATTAATTTGAGCTGCTTTGAAAATATATCTAAAATCAGGAGCCCAAAATAATATAAAATGGTCAAGGGAAAGCAACTCGAGAAATACATGGCTTAGGGAATAATTGCTGTTTCTAATTTGTCTTGTATACTGTTTTCATCTGACAAACTTCAGCTTCGCTTTGTAAGCTTTTGTATTGATTCTCTATCATAAATAATAGAAATGGTCACATCACCAGAGACCTTGCTGGGGGGATAATAAATGACTTGGTAAGAGCCCTCTAAATCTCCCATATGCTACTGTTATTTTTCCTGTGTTGGGGAAGTTGATTCTGTAACAGCAAATTTAGCAATGTAGAGCCACTAAGGAAATTTTTTTTTTAAATTTAGGAATTTTTATTACCTTTCTGGAGCCAAAGAAGCCATCAAAGAGAGTAATGTGACATCAAACTTAGTGTTTTAAACAAAACATAATTACCAGCTTTGCCACAGAACTACACCTAAAGAATTATTTGGCCTTCTAGTGGACCTACTAGAGAAGAAAAGTTCTGTACAAATTTTGCCAAAAATCTCAGCATCTCATAATTATTGAGCTTAGAAAATGCCTTAGTATTTATCTAAACTATGAGATAGATCCAACCACATGTCTTTAAATGGATAAAAAGCTAACACCTTACATGGGAAATGAGTAGTAAGCATGACATAGAACAAAAAAGCAATAACATGCAGCAAAATAAATAAGACTATGTTCCCAAAGCTAAAATGTGCCTAAGACTTGTCTAACCAGAGAGAGCTTTTAGGTAGGCAGCATTCTGCACCTGCAGATTTCATATCAGTACCTCAAAACCAGAAAACATTACTTTAAAGAGGCTTTTTCCTCTCAGTTGAGTTAAACATACCAAATATTCAGTGTTTCTATTTCATGTTATTCTCCATTTTCACACTCTGGTAAAAATTTGGAATACCTTTGGGTTCCCAAGATGGAAGCCAAACAGGATAGGTTTGTCTTACCCTTCTTGTAAAAAGAGACCCCGAGAAATTCTGGCTGCAATGTCTGAGGTTCCACAAATTCTTTTAAGATGAGGATTGGGACTGTGCTTTATTTCCCCCACAGTGCTGGACATACAACAGTCCAAACTGAACTGAACTGAAAAATTCGGAATGCTACATTATCAGTGAACAGGCACTAAAAACAAGAATTATAGTAGATTCAAAGATGGATGAGGATACTTTATGTAAAAAGTCTGAAAGACTTGATTCAAGTAAAGACTACAGAGCATTTTTCTATTAGATGTTTTCTTGGGTGATTACAAAATGAGATGAAAATATTGATGTATATAGAAATACTAACTAGTTGAAAGTTACACAAAAGTATACATCTAATCAGTACAACAGCCCACCTAAAACGAATATACATAACTTGCTAATAAAAAATACAATGCTACAAGAGTGCTTAGTAATTTAAAAAACATTAAAGGAATATAAGTTCAGAATGAAGGTTACATGACTATGATTGATATTAAATCTTTACTTACCTCCATAATTTAGTCATGAAAAGACAGAAGTCAGTAGATCAGACATGTAGATTAGATGTAACTAGGATAGAAATACAGGGGGAAAAATAGTTCCCATTTCTGGATAACCTGACTGGAAGTTCACTGAACTTGGATTAATCAAATGGTTCAAGGATAGAAGTGAATTAGTCTAAAGATCCTGGTATATGCCCAGAAGACATATTACTGAGTTTTTAAAAGGTTGTTTGGAAGCACAGATGAACATTTTAGGTTTCCTTACATTTCATTAAAATAGAACATAAAAAAATCAACTAAAGATGTAGAATAATATGGTATTTCTGTCTAACGACATGTGGCTACTTTACAGACAGGTAATCGCTAGGTAAATAGGAATTATACAAAACAATGTTTAGTTTCTAGAAAACCAAAATATTTGCTTTTAATTAATTAAACAAGTTTTAAAACTGTTTTCCCTTTGGTAACTTTTTAAACACCTGCCTACAATTTAAGCAGTACTGAGTTCCTATTTGATTATTTTTGGCTAACCCTTTTCTTCAGAAGCAAGCCCAATTTAGGGTAAGGAGGAGGAAAAGTTCCAGATCTCTTAGAACCTTCATTTCCTCTTAACATGTTTCTCCATCAAAAACAAGTATTCAAATAAGGAATCTCAATTATCTAAACCATTTTTGGCCCACTCTGGAATTTCTTGTTATACCACCTTTGAAATGCTACAGTTGTACTCTTGAAAAACCTGTCTTCCTGGTTTTCAAATTTCTGTTTATTATTACACTTCTTCAGCCAGAATGCCAGTTCTTTGTGCTGTACTGTTTCTTGAAACTAGAGACCAGTACATTTCCCACAATTCAATTATTTGCCTTTCCATTTGCTAAATTAAAGCCATGTCAATTTTACAAAGTTTTAATTGATTGAATTATTTGGATTTTAAATTCTCAATTTCATTCCTTCAATCTAATACTGGGAAAGATCTTTGTTTTATTAATGGAAGTAGAGGTTAAGGTTCAAGAATATGAACACATTTTAGTCATTGACCCTCATAACTGATTTTCTTACAGGCATAATAAGCTTGAGATATGACACTCCAAGAAAAAAATGAAGAATTTTAATTCAATTTTGGAAATGTTTATTTAAGATTACATACTTAGTCAAATAATTTATTTACATAAACATGTGTTTACATATTTAATTTATTATTTTTAAAATATATTTTTCTTGATTTCAGAGAGAACGGGAGAGGGAGAGATAGAAACATCAATGATGAGAGAGAATTACTGATCAGCTGCCTCCTGCACACCCACTACTGGGATCAAGCCTGCAACCCGGGCATCTGCCCTTGACCGGATCCAAATCTGGGACCCTTCAGTCCGCAGGCCAATGCTCTATCCACTGAGCCAAACCGGCTAGGACTACATATTTCTTTTTAAAGAAAGGGATCTTGTCCACAACAAAGAGCTTCAGATAGCTTGTCCACCCTTATCAGCTTTATGTGGATACTGACAAATTTACCTCTCCAGAATGACTTTTACATAGAATTCTCGTTCTATATATTCACAACCTTTAATCGAAGCATTTCAAATGAAATTCCTGCATATTGTCTTAAATTCAGTATGACAAAAATGGGACTCAGCATCTTTTCAAACCAGCTTCTCAACTGTCCACTTTCAATGATACCATGATTGTCTAGTACAGAACATTTATTTTTTGACACCACCCTTTTATCCAACTCATTGTGATGTTCTATACTTTTTCCTTTTGAAATATCTTTTATTCTTTCATCTCCATTCTCATTGCCACTATTCTGTCCGGGATTTCTTCACTCCTAGATTACTAAAATAGTCACATGCCCAGTTTCCTTACCACTAGACTTTATTTCTTAGAATCCTTCTATATATAGTACTGCCACATTTGATTTCCAAAAATTCCATTACTTTGTCAACTTCCACTGTTATTTCAAGATGCTGGGTTATGCTAACTTCATGCCATATCAAGACTAAAATCCTCTAATTGGTTTTCCAGGCAAAGGTCCAATAACTTAATAATGTAGTTATCCAAATTCATGTAACCTTTTGTCTAAGGTTTTAAGACAAAGGTTTCAAGTTATTGCATTGTATTTTGACTTAAATTCTCACCCACAAACCAGTCCTCTACTTGACAACTCAGTGTATCTTAATTTACAAGCATACAGACCACAAATTACAAAATGAAGACATTTTTTTTTCTATCGAGTCAGCAGAGACAATTTTCTAATCCCCCTGTAATTCCCAAAAGATACTTACAGATTTGTGTTGAGGGATATCTCAGTGGCATTTATTGCCCTTTGCTACAGTGGTCTATTGTCAGAAACTGCTCAGAACAGACAATGTCTGTAGCTTCCAATCTCAATCCTTCCTTCATGTGCCTTAGGTGTCAAAATATATGCCTAGAAAACAGGTTATAAAGTAAATCAATATACGGGGAAACTGCTTTGCCATAGGAACCATTATTTAATTGCTGGTTAAATTCCTGACTTTTGACTAAAAGTTAAGTATAATTTATACCTAGATTCTGGAAAAACATGTCCTATAGATTTTAGATAAAAGCTTGGGGCACCTAATTTTTAAAAAAAATCACATTATGATAACAATGAATGCAATTGCTGCATATTTGATCCACAATTTTCTTTGCCTTCTTAGATTTCTTAAACATTTTTTTTGGTGTAATTTAGTCTAATAAAATTATCCAAAGTTTCTAAGAAAAGCTATTCTACTCAATAAGATAGCTCCAGTAAGAAGTCAGAAGCATACCATTTTCTTTAGAGACTCACTTTAAAGAACTGCAGCCGAGCCTGGCCAGTGTGGCTCTTTGGTTGAACATCGAACTATGAACCAAGAGGTCACGGTTCTATTCCTGGTCAGGGCACATGCCAGGGTTGTGGGCTCTATCCCCAGTAAGGTGCTTGCAGGAAACAGCCGATTGATGATTCTCTCTCATCGATGTTTCTATCTCTCTCTCTTCTCTTCCTCTCTGAAGTCAATCAAAATATATTTATTTTAAAAAGAACTGCAGCGGATACTCAATACATTTGTTTTTTTTTACTATGGTAATGTTATTTCTTGAAAAGTGTTTTTTAATGTAAGGACTTTTCTTTCTACTATAGTCAATCTCCTCAGACACACAAAGGCCAACAGAAAACAAACTATATTCAGAAAGCTTTAGGTGATGTTAGATCACTAACAAGCCTCAAAAAGGAATATTAAAATTTCACCGGTCTTCCAACTATTCATACCCCATCCATAGGTTTCTGACTTTAAAATTTTTTAAAAGGACACTGTAAGGTAGCTAAAACTTGAGGTATGAACGTAAATGAGTAGTATAGAATGAGAAGAACCTCAATATGTGGTAAAAGGCAGAGAACTCCTAAACTACCAGGAAATGAGCATTACATTTATCTAGCTGGTACTCTTTTCAGAATAAAAGCCATTTCTGCTGATTTTCAGCACTCAATTGTCATTTATCAAACACCTGCTATGTTAGGCTGGCAAAGTACATAATAAAACATGATAGTCCCTGCTTATAAGGGACTATCATTGTTCTAAGGTATAGAAGCACAAAAGAAAAATGATATTTGTGGCTGAAGAGGAAAATGAACTAGGAAAATTTCATGCAGAGAATAGAAAGCCTAAGATTTAGAAAGTTGAAGATGAGGGAAAGGACATTGTAGGAGTAGTTAACTTGAGCTAAGGCTTGGATGCAAATTAGAATGGTTTGGAAAAAGAATGTTTCTATTTAGCTTAAAAATACTTTGGTATTAATTCACAATCATTCCCATAGTGGTAAAGGTCAATCTTACTAGGGCAAAAAATATCCTGATAGAATTTTTCTCTGCAACTTTTTCAATATTTCTAACTTGATTTGCTTAGTTAAAAGCCATAGATCCTCTAATGTTCCAGATAAAATTGTTTAATGTAAGCCTAGATTTCCTTCCAATATTTCTTTTTTTAAATCCTCACCTGAGGATATGGTGTTGTGTTTTGTGTGTGTGTGGTTTTTTTTTTTTTTTTTCATTGATTCTAGAGAGGAAGAGAGAGAGAGAGAGAGAGAGAGAGAGAGAGAGAGAGAGAGAGAGAGAGG